GAAAGAAAGAAAGAAAGAAAGAAAGAAAGAAAGAAAGAAAGAAAAAAGCATTGACAGCTCTTTCCATCCCTAGCCAAAAAGGTTACAATACTAGCAAATAAAACAATTATTTACTGTCCTTCTACAACACCCTAAATTAGCTACATAGATCGAGGGAGAAGCATTTGTGCACACATACTAAATGCATACCATAAAATTTCCACAAATAGATAAATATGTGCTTGATATAAAAACATTTTTTCTGAAACAAAGCATTCACTACACTCAAAGCTCTGTTGAATTCAAAATTATATTCTACTTAATGCATATGAACACACAGAGAGATATATAAACAAAAATGCATACACACATATGCATGTACCTGACATGTAACTCTTTGACAAATAGTCAATTCTAGAAGAATAGAAGCTGTTCTCAAAAAAATGTACTGTGTGGTGTTATCAGGAGAAACAAATCCTCCACCTATGCAACTTGACATGTAAGCCGGTGATTGCCATTTCAATTGGTTTAAAATGAAATAAAAGGAAATATAACCAATGTTTTCTATGGAAATTATTCACTGGAATTGGAGTATCAATGTGTTTGAGAAACAGTAGTGGCTTACACTGATATACCATCTCAGTGTGTGGAATTGTTATTACTATCACATCCCTTAGACCTGATGACTATTTCTACTCTTTTTTTTTTTTAAAAGAACCTTTTAAATTGTATTTTCTTTCAGAATAAACAGAGCTACTAATTAGTATCCACTTTAACTATAATTGTTCTAGGGATAGAATAATTACCTTTTCCTCTCAAAAGCCATAATAAAACATAATTGTTGTTTTACATATTAGTATAATATTACATTTTGAATGAAGAGGATATTCTCTGGCTATAACACAAGAAGTTCCAAGTAAACATTAATGAATTAGGCAGAAGTGGATCTGAAAATATGATCATTTTTATCGAAGTAAATGCACAGCATACTAACTCAAATGCAGAATTCTTGTAGTGAGGAAATTCCTTCTCTGTGTTTGTGTTTTAATCTAATTTTGTGGTGGGCTATTACTGAGCCTCTGTAAGGAACAACAGTGTCATTCTTATGATTGCACTGCACAACGCATCAAATTACAACTAACCAACTAACTTTCAGCTTAGGTTAGCCGATACATTTATGATTGAATGGGTCATTCAAACTCATTATTATTTATTTAGAACATGATGAGAATATGACAGAAAAGAAGTAAATATACACATTCAATATTCAAACCCATAAAACTGTGTTAATGGAGAAAGGCATGTGGTGCAAAAGCTTTGCTTTTGTAAATTGTCCTGTTTATAACAGTACTGTATATTAGAATGACACTGCAGACTTTTTCTGCCAAGGTACAAACCTTATGTACCTGCCATCATAATTGTTTCTCTATTGAAATATTTCATGCAGAGAAGAAGCATTAACACTGTCATGTGCTAAGCTGTTATTTGTTGACATATCAAATCCAAGGCTCAATGCCACTCCATCTGGAAATGTATACTTTGCACACTCATTAAGATGATAATGTTTTATGCCAAACAACTTTCCGATGTCTGCTGAGAAACAGCAAGTCACTTGGCATGACATGAGAAAAGTGAAGTTCTCTCACTATCTTCCATTGCAGCCATCAAGAGAACCAATTGTCTATTAAAATTATTCATTTTTTTAAAAAGTCCCTTTGTTTTGGGTTGTTCCTGTGAACTTCATTATTGAAAAGGAAAAACAATTTAGAATTTATTAGAACTAGAGGCAAAGTATATTAAAAATAGAAACAATAAGCCTTAAAGGATCCATTCAATTAAATAAATGAAGCAACTGCAATGTAATTAAAATGATTAATCAAATTACAAAGCAATTGACTACAAATATAAAAATGATAAACCAGAATCAACTGACACATAATCAATGACTCCTTTCTCCCCAAATTAGTTCAAACTGTGTAGCAGTCTAGTACATTCCAATTTTTGTTTAAAGGTGAATACGATCCATAAGAGGATTTTTAAAAATGAAGGGTGCCCTATGGTTCCAGTTATACGGTTTGGATGTCCTGCTGAATTAAATGAATTCCCACAGTTGCCCCAAAATATTATATCTACCACTTAAATGAAAAACACTTTTTTCTGATGATATAACATTATAGTAGAGCACTGTGGAACATTAATGTTGCAATAATTCTACAATATTAAATGCATTTAAATAATAGCAATCTCAGTATTATTTATCCATTTTATGACTTGCAATATGTTCTACTAAGTTCTGAATTCTTCCAGAATCAAATGGGATATTACAATCAAAAAGAAAGATCATGATTTCAATCGCTTATTGTAAATGTGAAGAACTATAGGTGCACTACCTCTGCTTTTTACTTTAAAATAAGTAAAAGTAAATGGGACATTCTGATTTATTTTGCATCAACTATTTCCATAACAGCTGAAGAGAGAAAAACCAAGTTAAAACCATCTTTGATTGAGAATGTGGCTTCATGCAATGTTTTAGTACAAACTCCAAAGTTAATCCAGTTCAGCTTCATTCATCCAGGTGTTATTGTCCATGCATTTGATTCCTTATTCACAGCATGAGCTTTATTCAGGCTTCATTCAACACAGACTTCAGGAGGCCCTGCCAATCCTCTGTGCTTCATTTACAGTATCAAGAAGTGACTAAATTTAACATATTTATGATGCGATAAGGGCAGTCCTGCAGTCCGAACTTTGCATCATACTTCCAGGTCCCTTTAATATCTTGCTTGATCCTGTGAAAGCAAATAAAACACTAACATGGGTTACAGCAAAATTTTGTTGCTGAGGCTGGATCTTTTTATTTATCTTTTAAAAGTTTACATAGTTTAAATGATATAAGAGACAAAAAAAACCTTTATATTAAAGTGGTTATACAGTTAAGATAAGTGAGCTAAAATTTCTTGCATCATTGTTGAATTTGTACAACGGGAAGAATAAATAAAGCTGTCAACAGCTGGTTTACAGTTCAAATGTTATCTTCACAATCAAAGAAACAAATATTCCATATTTGAGAAGAGACTGAGTAATAATTCACAAACTCTATGGAATTTACAGAAGGGTATTAGTTTTAAAATGTATGGAAGTTACTTGTGACATATACTTTTGAATAAAGGAGGAACTCCAGTAACATCATTTTCGAGCTAACTATGGAGCTTTTATATAGAAAGTTTAAAACCTTGAAATCCTTTACCAACCTTTTATATCCAGGTGCCTTCCAGATGTGTTGGACCACAAATCAGGGATGTATGGTTCTTTCTGTATTCAGTCTACAGTAATACTGCATTTTTATTTCCTTTACATATTTTGTGTGAATCATGTATTATTCTTTGCCTTGATGTATTCATTTTTTTAAAATATATTTTTAAATGAAATTTGAGCTGACAAATATTTAAGTCCTTGTGGATTTTGTGAATGAAATATTGTATTTTGCCAGAATTCTTATTACTTGAAAAGAAATTTGTCAGATAAATCTGACATTTCTAGCTTCTCCCACCCCAGCATTCCTACAGTTAATAACTATGTTAACTGAGAATTATGGAAGGCCAGCTCTACTGAAGCACATAGTCTATCCTCTATTTGTACATATTTAAGATATTTTTTTTTAATTTTAGCAATTAATTAGATGATAGACTAAAAGTTGAGAAATGAAAATTAGAAATGCATCTTTATTCCAATCTCCAGCATACCATTTTGATTATAAAGTCAAAAAAGGGGTATAGGTGAAGTTACTAGCTTTATTTAATCATTGTTAGTATACAATATTCTTGTTCACCATTGAGTATACTTCTAAAATATTAGAAAAGGATATGTGTGATTAAATGTTGGACAAATGTGAATTGGAAGACAACTTTTTAAAATTTTGCATCATTATTCAAAAACTTTCCAGAATATTTTTAAAGCTAGCAACATATGAAACTAACGTAATGAAGGGGTTGCTTTACAGATTTATTACTTATAATTTCTTGAATACTGCTTTTACGAGCAACCAAACAGAAATTCAAATAAATATTCTGCCCAGATGAATATAGGAAAACTAGAGAACTGATATAAGAACCTGTCTGGCACACAAGCATTAAGCAGTCTGATTGCTCTTTATGATCTACTCATGTTGCAGAATGTAAAATCTAGATTTGATGGATTGTAATGGGGACTTGATATAGTTCTTTCATTATGAATAAAGCATATTGAATGTGGATCAGTATACTGCATATATCGTCTAGTTGATGGGATGTCAGCAACAGTATATTGACTTGAAAGATATAAAATAGCTTGAGAATTCTTGGAGTAAATCTGGGTTTTAGTTGGACTTCTGGCATACTGACTGCAATGTGCCACCATATTCCTCACCACTAGCGGGGAATACTGCATGTGACATAAGTGTCGCTGAACTGATTTCTATATGCATCATCAGCCCACTTCTTTCTTGATCTGCTAAGTTGTTTGTATAACTATTGTTCAGAGAGATTTGAAAGAGAGCTACTTATCTCCCTGAGATATGTGCAAAATGTAAGAGTACCATGCCCCAAAGTAATAATTATGTGTTTAAGCCAACACTAGTTTCATGAGTGTAAATTTCATTCTAATGATGATCAGCTAGCAGGTGATAAAGAAGAAAATATTATAGTTATTGGAATTACATTAATTAAATTGGTTTAATTAAATTAATTAAATTGTTTAAATAAGTTTTGTCTAGAGGCTCTGTTGAATTCCCCATTGTTTATGGATTCCTCACTTAGCACCTTCATACCTGAATATCAATTGGAACCTGGTTCCTGTGTCAAATCTAAGTATTCTATGAATACTCATATTTATTTACTGTATTTCTTTCCAATTGCACTGTAATATTGATGAGTAATAGGCTTTCTACCTATTATATGTTCCAGTTATGTTAAATTTATGAATTAAAATTCTGCTTTTCCATAATTCTGTTTTAACTGATAATTCTATTGTTCTTTTTTAAACAGGACTCCCTGAATGTTATTGATCCTGGTTTAATGGAGCTAAATAGCACAAGTGAAGATGCCCTAGAATGGGATGAAATGGATATAAGTAATAAGTTAATTAGTATTAATGAAGACTTTACTGAACCTGAAGCAAAACAAGATGACACAAAGCTGAATTTGCCACCTGAAATATCTGATAATGGTAATCCAAAACAAGAAGAAGCCCCTAACATTCATGGAGACAGTCACAGTGACCAAAGAATGCCATCTTCTTCAGGTGCAAAGGTTTACCAAGTATACAGTCTCCACGATGTTGAACTACCCAGAAAAAATCATATATCTCTCATGAAAAACACATCCAAAGACTCCAGCCTTACACCTTCAACTACTGCAAACAAAGACACAAATAAAGATGCTTCCTCATATTTGCCAAATTTAATGGGTAGCACCACATTGGCAAAACCACAGAATTATATGTATCATAGCGGAAATATTACCAGGCATTCTGAAAGTCAGAATAAAGTAATCAGTGAAAAAAAGCTAAAAGCTATCAGCAGCTCTGAAATCCAATTGTTTCCTGATAGTGACGGAATACAAGATAATTCCATGCCTAATATTTCAGATTCTGATTTAGGGAATATAGTTGATGTGATAAAACAAAATTGTAAGCCGAAAGAGGAAGAAAGCCTTGATAACGTCACTACATCGGAACCAAAGTTTAGTAACAGAACAAAAGCTGTAGACAATGGTGCCCATCATGATTCTGTGAGTGTGGAAGAATTACAAGGAAAACACAATGCTTTTACATTTTATGACTACTCATATCTTCAAGGTTCAAAATTAAAGCTACCACGGATGATAAAGCAACCTCAGTCAGAAAAAGCACACAAGCAGGGCAACTTGCTTCATGGCTTTTATTTTGACAAAGTTCCTTTTATATCTGGAAATCAGCCTGGGGAGTTAAAATCATGTACAGAAAAGCTTGCTTTACCAACTGACTGGAATGATGCTGATCCTAAACACTCTGAGTTTGTGGAAGATTTAAAGAAACTATATGACACAACAAATGGGAAAGTGCTTTCAACTCTATCTCATAGCTCTTCTTTAGATTCCCTTTCTCTGACAAGTGATTTGCTTGGTTTAACTGTTTTTAGAAGTGGAGATGGGCTTAATCGTAGCACTTCCTTAGAGAGCTTGCTAAATCCCTACAAGAGCAATGAAGATCTTTTTAGCGGTAATGATTCCGGTGACCTTAGTGGAAGTAGTGATTCTGTTGGAGAACTCAGTAAAAGGACGTTAGATCTTTTGAATCGCTTAGAAAATATCCAAAGTCCTTTAGATCAAAAAATAAAGCGGAGCATCTCTGATATCACCCTCCAAAGCACTTCTCAAAGAATATCCTTGACTGGCCAAGTGTCCTTGGAAATTGCCTCCTCAATCAATGAAGATTCACCTGCTTCTCTCACTGAGTTAAGCAGTAGTGATGATCTGTCTCTCTGCTCTGAAGATATTATAATGCCCAGAAACAAAGTACTAGATTCAAATGCATCATTCAGAAAGCACCTCAATCGGTCTGTCGCTGATGAGAGTGATATCAACGTTAGCATGATTGTTAATGTTTCCTGTACCTCCGCTTGCACTGATGATGAAGATGATAGTGATCTGTTATCAAGTTCTACTCTCACCTTGACTGAGGAAGAGCTGGGCATGAAAGATGAAGATGATGATTCCAGTATTGCAACTGATGAGGATATTTATGAAGACTCCAATTTAATGTCAGGACTTGACTATATTAAGAATGAACTCCACACCTGGATTAGACCTAAATTATATTTGCCAAAGGAGAAGAGGAGACATCATGTGAATGATGAAATTCAGGGCTGTAAGGAGTTAAGAGGTGGTGAGACTTTGAAACCAAAAGATTCACTGAACATTGAACAATTTTTGAGTGATTCCATATGTAAGCTTTCACAAAATAATGGCAATAGGAAGAATGTATTGGAGAATCGTACGTCAGAGACAAAAAGACAAGCAAAAAATGAAGGTTTTCAGCTTTTACAAGATCGCTTAGTAGATGATATGGAGAATGGAAATGTTGCAGTTACTCAAGAAAGTCTAAATGGACAACATATTTCAACATCTGCCGTAACTGTTAGTACATTAGATAGGAAAGAGAATGAAAATGAAGATTTTGTCAGTGAATCATTTGCTGATAGTTCAAAAGATTCTCATATTAACAATGAGGAAGCTGTTCAACTATCAAATATAGCCAGTCCTCAAAAAGAGTATCAAAATCATATTTTGTGTGATGGCCAGGGTATTAAAAATCTTATCACAGAATTTGACTCAAATGTCAAAGAAGACAGTACAGCATTACTAACATTGCCTCCAAGTTATCAAGAAAGTAAAACAGGAATTGGTGAGCCTGTTAGTGATTGCTGTGCATGTTTAAAATCAAATGAAGCAGAAAAAAACACATCAGCTAGCAGTCATGATTCATGTTGCAACTGTGAATCAGTTGCTTTTGATAAAAGAAATGGGGAAGATTGCTCAGTGCATAATTTTGTGATGGAGATAATTGACATGGCTTCCACAGCCTTGAAGAACAAATCACAGCCTGAAAGCGAGCCAGCTGTTCCACATTCATTAGCCCAGATCAAAGAAAAGGTTCTAGAACATTCTCACAGGCCAATCCAACTTAGAAAGGGGGATTTTTATTCTTACCTTTCACTCTCTTCTCATGATAGTGACTGTGGAGAAGTGACTAAATATGATGAAGAAAAGAGCAGTACTCCAGTTCCGCTGGACTTTGCAGAAAACATTGAATGCTTTTTTGAAGCCTGTCCTGAGGAAGAAAGAGTTGAACAGCAGACATACATTGCTCCTAATGAAGCTGAGGCAACTATGGTCAAGTACAAGGACTTGGATTTAATAGATGAACACCAAACACCCACCAATTGTAATGACTTTTCTTTCTTATCTAAGGAAATGGGTACAAATCCTCCAGGCACTTTTAGCAAAACAGGATCAGAGAATATAAAAAATTATCCTGGTGAATCTTCCGATCAAGAGACCTCTAACAAAGGTCCAGTTTTGAATTCTTTTCCAAATGACTCTATAGAAAACCATCCAGGTCAGTCCTTTGGCACTGCAAAATCTGAAGAAGATTTTGTCACCTCTCCAAAGGCCTTAGTTAAAGCCACTCAGTTAAAACCTGATCACTTGAAAGGCAAAGAAATTAAGCACCCACACCCAAAAACTCTTGTATGTGAAGAAAAACTCCTGCCTCTTTACAAAGAAAGGCACATAAATGCAAAGAGATAGAATGCAACTGTCTCTGGACACATACATGTTATTTCATGAGCAGGTATGTACTGAAATCTTGAGGACCGAATATTATTAGTGACATGACCATATAATTAAACAAATTGTAGTATTGGTGGTGACTGTTTTAGTAGATAATGCGTGCCTTTTGAATTTATGTTCACAATAATAAAATGATATTTAATAGCAATAGCACTTAGACTTATATACCGCTTTACAGAGCTTTGCAGCCCTCGCTAAGCAGTTTACAGAGTCAGCATATTGCCCCCAACAATTTGGATTCTCATTTTACCACCTCAGAAGGATGGGAGGCTGAGTCAACCTTGAACCTAGTGGGATTTGAACTGCCAAATTGCAGTCAGCCGGCAGTCAGCAGAAGTAGCTTGCAGTACTGCATCCTAACCATTGCGCCACCACAGCTCATGTAAGCTCCTTTAAGCTTACATTTTACAGATAGTCAGGTTAAATCCATTCTTTCAATGATCATCCAAACTTACAAAGGTGCTGAAAAAATGGACATGATGAGTCCTCAAAATGGCAACCATTGCAACTTCCCTGTGGTCACATGATCAAAGTTTGAATAATTGGCAAACTAGCCCACTTTTACGATTTTTGCAGCATCATGCAGTCACATTCTTCTCTCCTGCACAAACTGCCTCCATTTCAACTCCCTCCTTCTCTGCCTTTTGGCCACCCAGCAGAGCACAGCCACAATAAAAAAGCCATGCATTCATCCACCATTGCTGTCCAGGTTTGTCCCAGCTGATGTTTGTCATCACCTTTGCCTTACCTCTGCTGGACTCACTTCTGCCATTATCCCCATAGCCAGTAGTATTTTTTTTTCAATTGACTGTGCCCCTCCTTCCTTTTATAATTAAAAAAAATGATTGGGGAGGGAACTGAAGTGGATGCAATTTGCACAGGGCGGGGAATGAAGAATGAGGTCCTCACTTGGTGACTACAACCTGGACTGCTTATAATTCCCAATTCTAACTGGTTCATTTAGAAAACATTTGTGCTTGGTTTCCTGAAATATATCATCATTCTTAACCTTAAATAAAATTCAGAATCGAGGCCATGTTATATGCACTGGAGAAGAAAAAGATATTGAACTATTATTTATATATGTCATTTGTTATTTCCTATTAAATGTAGCAGTGCTAGTTTACCTTATTTAAAATATTTTCAGTCCTAACCTGTGATACCCCATCTCATGTGCTAAAATTTCAATCCTAACTAAAGCCTAAAGCAATATACATAACATGAAAATTAATATTATTTGCCCTTGTCCATGCATGGATTATAGGCATCAGTTCTATCATCTTTACAGCATTGCTTTAAATCTCACATTTGTCTTCTGATAAAATTAATTATGCATACATGTCTTTTTAGATTTAAATTTGAGCTGAATGGTGGCAAATAATTGAAGAAAACTGGTATTACAAGTGTAGCCTACATTTCTGTGCTGTCTTTTGGCTTATTGCACCGTCTAGTCAAAGTCAGCTTTAACAACTTACTGGCTCTATGCAAATTGTCAATGGGCACTTCCCCACACCTCCTGTGTAATCGACTCCCCCCCCCAAGAAAACCAGAAAACTGAATGTGAACTCCTGAAATTAAGAAACATGGCAGTTATTACTGAAACTGGTTCACCTTTACAAACCAATATGAATAGTTTATTGGAATGTGTATTAGCAAAGGAGAAAACTGATGCAGCTCTTATTTTCAGGACAATGTACTGGAAATTGCATATTTTCTAGAGTTACAATAATGCGTTCTAATTCAGAAGTGGGCATTCTACCTCTTTCAGCCTCCATTTCAAAAGCTTTGTGAAGAATTCACTTAGGTTTCTGGCATGAATAATCTGGCTTCCTCAAATAACTTGTTTTGAGAGTAGGAAAAAAGAAAGGGGAAGAAGAAAAAAGAGTGCTAGAAAAGAGAATGAAAAAGGAAATGCCATGAAGAGACAGAAAGCAAGCAAACACTGCACACTTCTCTGCATACTTAGTTTGGCCCCACTCCCGTACAACAACTTAGCCCAAGAGAGCATAACTCTTGACAGATTTTCCACCCTTGCCTTTGCTCAATATTCACCTATTGGTGATTGTACACCAACTTTCACTGCCCACATGAGCTTCCCTTTCACTAAAGGTAAAAATTTAGTGCATACAAAAGCTATATGCACACTGAGGTGCCTCCTAAATGTCAATTAATGAAGGTGTAATATAATTCAGCAAGGATATTGCTGTGGGGTCTTCACATAAAAAGTACCCTAACTCATAAATCCACAGCTCCTCAAGTCAGCACCAGACCCCAGGCTCTCTAAACTACCCACCAGATTCTTGAAATCCCTCCTCCCTCCTGTGAGGGCTTAGTTGATACTTTAACTTCATTTCTCATGCTATGGGAAATGAATTAGAAGCAATCTATCCTAATTTGTTAACTTATTCAAATAACAGTTATTATACTTAACTATGCTAAAGATTATCTTTTTGGTGGCAGATTGTTTATTTTTTGATGAGCCTAATTACTGATTTTCCAAAGGTAATTTACATTTATTACTAATACATCTTTTAAAATGTGACAGATAAATGTTGTTCCCATAAGTGTATTATGAAAAAAGTTACTATTTAAAAACACATTATTTAATTTGAAAGATAAATGGCAAACACCATTATTTTTTTTCTTGGAGCACCTGTGCTGTAAGCTCATTAAAATGTGTGATTTTATGTGAAGCTGAGATACTTAAGAGAAAAATTATCTATGGTATATGTGTACCCTAAAAATAAACCCAGTACGCAAAGGTGACAGTATGCATATTTACCAACGTAGCTCAACTAATTTAATGTGATTTCTGCTCCAGCTGCAAGCCAGAATAAAGCTGTTGTGAGCAAATATATTTTCCTGCTGAACACCGTATATCGAAGCTGTAATCTCACTATTTTATGGGTATGGTATAAAATTGACCATTAAGAGACAGCAGCTTCAAAAAGTTCTATGTACTGTAAGTGATAATTCTGCTGTTTTATCCAGACGGCTGCTGACTTTATAACTGCACAGATATGTTTCCTCTCGAGGTTCAGAGGTTTTGTTTTCCATGGAGGCAAGATTTATCAAGAAAATTTATCATGGCACTTTCTTTTTCTATCAATATGGTCCATAACCTTTTCTTCCTATACATTTTTCTTTGAGGCGCACATGAAGTTATACCAGAACCAATTATTTTTTATGCAGTCCAGTGTTTTCTATTCTGATTTGCAGAGATTGTCTAATGTGTCAGACAGAGGTTTTTCCCACCATCTGTCATCTAATTCTTTCACAAGGTGATGCCAAGTCATTCAAATCAAATCATCTTTATTAGTGTAATTGATCGATCCAAACATAAGAATATAACAAGGCAAAAGAAACAACAAGGTAGGTACCATCTATGCAGGAAAACTTTGAACTTTTCCCAACTGGCGAGACATCTCATTTACCTAGCCAAGGTTAGGCAGTATAAAGGCTTCATGCTGGCCTATTTCAATGTTCTTATTATCAGCAATCTTTTAAGATAAATTCCACATCTCCTTGTGTTGTTTGTTCTGCTATATTTGTGATGTTCCTATCATCCTATTTTTTTAGTATTAGACCATGTAGATTTATTTATTTTCTATTGATCCTGTTGCATTGCAGATACAAGATTTATGCTTAACGTGACCAAACTTTGTGCTCTAGTTTATAAAGTCAGCCAAATGATATTTTCTGGGATTGGTTAGTGATGAGTATTTAAGACCCTAAGCTTTAACTGGATCTTGCCAGCCTACCAGTATTGCTACTACTAATGATGATGATGATGATTGCTTGCACAGTGAACCTGATGTTTGAAATGGATTTGGCATTTTTGTCCACCTATCAAATTATTTTCAAGGATCTGGGCTAGGCAGTGTTTAATAATATTAAAGGTCACAACAAAAGCTGTTCCAAGTAAAGTTGTCTTTTGAATTGACTGATGCTGATTTTGTCAGTGCTGATGGTGTTCAAGTGGTGCTCCAGATGTTTTTGGATTGGACCCAAGACACCTATTACTATTGGTACTATCTTTACTTTCTTTTTCTGTAAGTATAATCTTTATTGTCATTGTACTTAAATACAACAAAATTGGTTTAGTCATTTTACTTTTATTTGCAGGTCTTTGTATTTTGTGATTTTCTCCAGTTCTTTCTCTTCTATTCTGCTATCTTCAGGTACTGCAATGTCCACTATCTAGATTTTTTAAATCTTCCTTATTGACAAATGATAAGACTGGGGTGTTATGTGACAGGTGTTTGTATGTTTGAATTCTAAAGTCTCAGAACACTAGTTTCTTCTTTTTCAATTACTTTGTCTATTTTCTACCAGTTCTTGCTTGCAAGCAAATGGGACTTCTTGCAGAGATTCCAATGCACCATTGTTGCTATTTTTCAATGCCAGTGTTTGTAGTTAGTTTGTGCAAATTTCTTGAAGAAGCTAACTAGATGTTCCACTGTTTCTTCACTTTCTTTGCAGAGGCAGCATTTGTTATCTGTTGCTGTCTTTTCAGTTCTGGCTTTGTATGCATTTGTTCTTAAGGTGTGTTCTTGTGCAGCCAAAGTTAGTCCCTCTGTGTCTTTCTTCAACTTTCCTGTTCTTATCCATTGCAGTTATCTGCTGGCCTATTATTATTATTTTTTAATACATTGGTAATATAGTGATTTGCTTTGTCGTGACTTGTTTCTATTCTTCATTTATTCTTATAGGTCAGTTTGGCCTCTCCAGTATTTAGCAAGCCTTCAGTACATCTTCTTCACTGTCCTTCAGATATTCTTGAAATGATCTTTCTTCTTCTTCAACTGTCTGGTGTACTTTCAACATTCCACATCCACCTACTTTCCTTCTTAAGTATAATTTGTCAATATTGCTGTGAGGATGTAGGACATGATACATTGTCTATGGAGATTCTCAGTCATCCATATCATGATTTGAAAAGTACCTTTGGGCATGATTCATTGTCATTATTTTTCTGGTCTTCCTATCTAGGACTTTTAGTTCAGTGGCTTGAGTCCAGTATTCCACACTATTCCAACTGTGTATCCAGTGACTGGAATTGCCTCATGTTAATTTCTTAGATGGTGTTTGGACTTTAAGATCTTCATTCTCATGATGTACACTTCTGACTTTCTTCTTAACTTCATTGTGCTTGATATTGTCCTGCTATATTGTGTTTTGTCACATGGTCAAACAGATAGTTAGACTGGATTTGACATTTTTATCCACCTATCTAGTTCTTCCCAAAGACCTTGGATGATATCACTGACCAGTTCTTAAAGCCATCTCTATTCTATCATTGAGCTGTGCCAATAAATACACACAAACTGATAGGAAAGATCTAGAAGTGGCCAGAACTGGAACAAACAACCAAAGACATCTTCCATTCACCTTAATCAAGGAGATTATTACCCAATGGTGATATAGAGCCGAGGTGGCGCAGTGGTTAAATGCAGCACTGCAGGCTACTTCAGCTGACTGAAGTTCTGCAGTTCGGCTGTTCAAATCTCACCGGCTCAGGGTTGACTCAGCCTTCCATCCTTCCGAGGTGGGTAAAATGAGGACCCAGATTGTTGTTGGGGGCAATATGCTGACTCTGTAAACCGCTTAGAGAGGGCTGAAAGCCCTATGAAGCGGTATATAAGTCTAACTGCTATTGCTATTGCTATAGGTCCAAGAAAGCATGAATGAATACCAGATGAAGATTAACCTCCTGGTTTGTTTCCTGATTTAATCAGTATTTTGTCAAAGTAGTAAATTTTTTCTTGACTGCTCATATAAAGATTACCACAATAGTTTTATTTTTAACATTAAGTTGACATATTTAATTTTTTAGCTATGTATAAGTTTAGATATCTAAAAAGCTTACATACAGTTCCAACAGTTTATGGTTTTTAAAAAATATATTATTAAAAGCCCATTTAAGGTGTTGAGGTTAGATATGCAACACGTTTCATGTTTAAATCATAGGCCTGTATTTCTTTAAAAATTGTGGAGGGGGTGGAGAGATCGATTTCCCCAATATTAATTAATATTAAACAAGAAGGTGACTGGATAACTCCAGATATTTTTACTTAATTTGGAAAGTATAAAATGCAAAGCTGGAGTGCCTCCTTGGAAATGCGGTGATAAGGTACTTTGTACTAATCCCTTAGCTGTATTCTAATAGTTATTTTTTCATAATCTCTATCCTATGCTTTGTCTCTTTGTTGCACAGATTAACCCTGTGCAAATTCTAAAGTGGAAAAAATTGCATCAGAAATACAGGTAGTCTTTGACTCATGTAAATAATTAGAACCGGAATTTCCATCATAAATCAGTGTGGTCATAACACAAGCCATCATGTGCCCAGATGTAAGCAAATAAAGCTTCCTCAATTTACTTTTTTGTAGGAAACCAGCTGCAAAGACCATAAACCATGGTCATGTGACCACAGGATGCTGCAAGCAGTTTTAAATAGTTGTTGTCAAGTGCCCAAATTGTAAATTATGTGATTGTGGGAATGAGGCAACATTTTAAGTGCAAGGACAGATAATAAATCACTTCTTCTGAAGACATCATAATTTGAATCATTGTTTAAACAGACATAAATTGAGGACTATATTAATTATTCCTCCTAGTAAGAAATATTAGGGCAATATCAATTAATGGATTATTTATCTATATCATCTCTTTCTATTTTTAGAGAGAATTCAATAGAGTATTTTAGATTATACCCATATTTATATAATCTCAAACCTAAATAGATTATTTGGCAATGTGTCCTATTGATTTTAATAGGACTTATTTCCATGTAATAGGCTCAGGATTGCAGATTATATTGGTTGGCTGGGTGGCCTTTATTGAGTCTTATGTGCCTATTGATTGATAAACTTTCAGAAGGTAAAGGAAGCATGTTCACAGATACCTAAAAGGATGGGATTGAGGGAAAAGGTCAAACTTGATTATTTCCCCAGTGCCTTTTGAAACTAAATCTTGTTTTATAAAAATCAATGAGGGTTTCCACTTCAATGAAAAGATATAACTCTGATTTAAACCATAAGCTACAAAAAATTGGTGTTCATAGCTGCTTTTGCATATACCTACCCGTAAGGACCCTGGTGTGAGATCATATAGCAGCTAACGTGGCTATTTTAAAGAAAATTGTGTTTTACAAATGGAATTATAGTTGATGTAGCATGCTCTTACTTTTTTTTCCTTTTCTTTCCCCTTTTCCTTTTAGAAACTTGGCTGCATTTCAGATGTAGGCTTATCCTCTAAACCCTGGGATGACCTCTAATTCCATTGTATCACTGCCTTTTGTTACACTTGACTCCCAAGATAAATTTTCTTTCCAAATGTTATTTGTACATGTTGGCTTTGTAACCAGGTTGCATATGCTGGAGCAATTTCAGTTATCATTTGGCTTTGTAGCAAAACAGTTTTCTTTCATATGGGTTTATATGCCAAGCTACCTCTTAACAACTTTCTTTTCAAATGTGTATGCCTCTGTATGACATCTCACCCACTAATATTTTAATGATTTTGCAATTGCACAGTTTCTGTGATCATTTTAAGTCATCATTTCAGAACTGTAAATGTCATTAGTTCTCCTGTTTTACGTATCACATTTGGTATTTTATGAGTACAATAACCCATATTGTTTATTGAAAATATTTTAGAAAGGAAATTTTGATTACAGCAAAAAGGAATCAATTGCTCCTGAGTCAAAAGAACCGGTTATACAAAGTAAACACAAATGTATCCTTTTGCTTTTTCTAAAAAACAAAACAAAACAAAACTATGCAACACTTCAAGAAACAGCTATGTGGTGTTGTATATTAAGAATTGTTAACATTGTACTAAATTAAATAAAACATTTTGGTTTTCTACTATGCTTCTTGAGGTGGTAATCAGAAAAGAACCCCACATTTAAAAAAAAATGGTGCCTTGCTGTATTTCTTATAACATTTATTAAAAAGTTGCTTTCACAGTAAAATTACGTTCATTTGAAAGAAGGAAATAGCAAGGTGTGAATCGTTTCTGTATATATGTATAACCAAGTGCAAACATTGATGTACAATGACAGTATAAAATGCTTTAATGTTTGTGATGCCTGGTGGTGTAGAAAACATAAGCCTTAAAGCCACTAGATTGCATGATAATTAGAACTGGCATAATAAACATGAGTTTACTGGGGAAATTTTAGAACTGGCTCTCATTTACCCACATCTGTCTAAATATTACATGGATTTGACATAAGTATTTGAATATTTATAAGGGCCTCTCAGGTTTTGTGTAGGCCTTTAGGAGCAACTTTGTCTGTGACCCTTCTGTCCTGAAAGTTCAGCTACTTCTGGTAAAATTGGAAGAGGATTTTGAACTACAATCTCATCCTGGAATAATTCCCTTACTGTCTCCACCTGTTAAGATGCCCATTTGGAGACCATAATAAGAACCAGGAAAAGTATCTATTTTTTCTGAAAACTTTCCCTTTCCACCTGGGTTTTTCCCCCACAAAAAAATGAATTTTGTCCCTCTCTCCCTCCCCCCCCCCCCCCCCCCCTCTCTCTCTCTCTCTCTCTCTCTCACACACACACACACACACAAATATCCATTATAAAATGCCTCACTCTGAGGTTTATTGCCCCTTCAAGGATTACAACTAAGTTGGTCAAAAAGGTTTCTTAGTTTCCAAGTTCCTGCTATACAGCTGTCACTTGTTTAGTGACTGCTTTATTTAGCAAGCCGTTACAATGATGAGGAAAAAGTAATCTTTGAAGGTCTGTAAAGCAAAGGAGAGCTGATCATAAGATCATAAGTACAATAACAATTTCACTTAATGACTGCTTTACAAAACAACTGAATTGTTGGTTGCAATTGTGGTCGCTGAGTGATGCCTATTTCTATATTTTGCAACACTGAACGTAAGTATAAAGGAAAAGACAGATCTATGTACAATGTACAACTGCTAATTTCTACCTAAAAATATAGATTTACTACAAGATGACAATGTTGTGCCACATCTGAAATTTCATTGATACTGAGAAAGAATGGCTTATTTTCTACAGTCTCATCTTCTGTTGTTGTATCTGAAACCTTCCTCCCTTCCCAAATGATATTGGTATTGCCTGAATATTCCCTCTGTTCACTGTGGGTGATGACAGGACAGAAACTTGTTGATTTTGACAACTGGGCCTCTTGTCATTTTTGGTGCTTTAGACCAACGGACTCATAACAACAAAGAAGTATATAAGTTTAGTTACTGAGTTTAATTGTTTTTTTAATATTTTAAAGTCCACAAGAGTATATTCCTAAAAAAAATAAAAGATGCAAATCTTCCCTAGTTGTGCACTCCAATGTGATGAGACTACAGTAATAAAAGGAAACTAATATGTGATCATCCTTCATAGTGATCATTTATAGGTTTCCAAAGTTCTTATTTTTCAGTCATCTGGTTGATGCAGTACTTAGGTAAGATATAAACCACAAGTAAATATGGATGAAAATGGAAACATACATATTATAAACTGATTCTTATATACAGGGTCAAATGAATGTGGTATATTAAAGTTGATGTTTCCGAATAAAAGGCTGAAAGCTTTGTAATAATATTCAGATTTGATGAATCTCTCATCCAATTACAAGTTAAGATTGTAAATTCAGATAATGCATTGATTTCCCAGTTCAATCCTGTTTTATTAGGCAGTCTTTGGGCCATTCATATTTATGCTCTAATTGGAAAGTGTCTTGCTATTTTATTTACTTTTCTTCCAACAATGTGCACATAAAATCTGAGAATTTTAAATGTATAAAAGAAACCAAATCATTTTCCTCCCAAAAATAACTACATATTGCTAACCCAAATGTGATTTGTCTATGGATCTCTCCCTCTCTCTCTCTCTCTCTCTCTCTCTCTCTCTCTCTCTCTCTCTCTCTCTCTCTCTCTCTCTCTCTCTCTGTGTCTGTGTGTGCATGCGTGTGCATGCATGTAATGGAAAGGCAGGTTTGGCATAGCTTATTCCATGCATAAATTCTACCCAGATGCCTTCAGGAAATTCATACTATGTACAATTAATTATATTTTGAAGAACTCCCCATTTGAAGAATTATAGAACCATATTATTGGTTTGCTAAGCCACTGGGGAGGAACAAAAGCAACTGCCTTATATCAAGTTAGAGCTGCTTTTTGTGACTGACAGGAGAACACCAAAGACTCCAATAGCTGTCATTTCTATCACCTGCTGCCTGGTCAGATGCCAGAAGTTTAACTCAAGATCTGTATATAAAAAGGCACTTTGCTACTGAACTGTTTTAGCAACAGAGCCAACAAAATGAAATGGCCAAAATGGGTGATTCTGAAGTTTAATAACAATAATCCAAAAAAGAGGGTCCAGAGAAAAGGAGGGAGAAAAGAGTCAGTTGTTAACAAGGTTCACAATCAATTCACCATACATATCTCTGAGAGTTTCGCAGAAGGGTTGTGAGAAAGTCAGAAATATGGGACATAATGTACCGTAGTTGGATAGAGTACTTTGTACATGTTTAAATCACTTGTTTACTTTCATGTTCATCAATACTATTCCAAACTAAAGCCTATCTTAAAACAGCTTCATTTAGTCATTAAGGTTTGTGGGAAATGCTATTTGTTTTCAATTTAAATAAAGAGTTAAATTTTAAATTCATTAAATGATCAATTTGCTACTTTAAATAAAGGAGTATAACACACTACGAAGTAGACCAGCCTAACAAGCCATATAAGCTTAAAATGACTTTTGTTGAATGGTTGTAACAGGGTGTCCCACTGGCCAGCTGCATCACACGCAGGCCACCCCACTCCAGCTTTGCGAATAGGAAAAATGTCACAAAGCATCACATGATGGCAATGTGATGCCGCAGGTTTGACACCCATGGGCTATAGTAACAGACTCTCTCAAGTCTGAATTCCTCCTCCCTCCCTTCCTTTATCTTCCCATGAATTAGGAAAGGGCCTGTCTGATATATTCTCTCAATTTTTGAGGATGGATTAAGGTTGTCCTTGTCTGATTTTTGCCTTGGCAGAAGCTCTTCCTTCTGTCCTTCAAAGCCATTCCCTTTTCCTCTATAATATAGCAATAGCACTTAGACTTATATACTGCTTCACAGTACTTTACAACCAGTGGTGGGTTCCGGATCCAGTTGCAACCGGTATGGTACAACGGGGCCTGGCGTCCACCACATGAACATGCACAGCGCACATGTACATGTGCTCAGCGCACGCACACATACCACCTGTGATGCTCTGCGATGCTCCAACTGCTTGGCGGAGCATCACATAGGAGCCATACGCTCTGTGCACATGTGCAGAAACCCCAAAGAGCTCAAATACCGGTAAGGAGTGCAGGCAGGCGGGCGGGTTGTCCGGAGCACCGTACCGGAACAGTACCCAGTGATCCTGGCAGGCACCGGTACACCTGTACCAGGGCATACCGGTCGTAACCCACCACTGTTTACAACCCTCTCAAAGTGGTTTACAGAGTCTAACCCCAACAAGTCTTCGTTTTACTGACTTGGGAAGGATGGAAAGCTGAGTCAACCTTAAGCCAGTAAGATTCAAACAGCCGAACTGCTGGCAATCAGCAGTCAGCAGCATGCAATACTGCATTCTAACCACTGTGCCACTACAGTTTCCTTCTACCTATGCTTGAAGTAAGAAATACACTATACAGTAGACCCTCTGGTCATGACCATAATTCGTTCCATAACTTTGGTCGTAACCCAATATTGTTGTGACCCAAACCTAATTTTGGAAATTTGGCTCTTACAAAAAATGGCGCAGAAGAGAAAATCGGCCATGGGGGAAAAATTATGAATCTTTGGGTCAGAACCCCATTTGGTCATGGTCAGACCAGAAGTTCCTGACCAGAGGTTCTACTGTATATTTCTAAATATATTTCTTCATAGAATAAAAAAGTCACCATCACACACAAATTACAAAATTATCCCCTAAATGCTAATTGTTCAATCATCTAGACCTTGTTTTATTTTGATGAATACAAAATGAACTGTTCATTCTACAACAAAGGTAGGGGAATTGTATGACGAAGGAGAGGCTTTGAGCATATTTGGGGTAAAGTGGACATGTTACAAAATGGCTGCAATAGGATGATTGCTCATTAACAAACTGGCTGCTATGATGGACCTGGCATTGATATACAATGAGAAGGAAAGACAAAAGTTAACAAAAAAAGGAGGAGACAGACACTTCAGAAGTGCCCTTGAAAAAAAGAATTACATTTTCCAAAACGCATTGAAAATTGGCAGTTGGGATTTCTCTTTCACAAAACACAAAGTCCTCTAGAACAGGGTGTCAAACTCAATATCTGTACACTCCGGCCTGTGGGGTGCTTAGATCTGGTCCATGAGGCCACCCTGGAAACAGTAAAGGAGCAACCTGCGGTGTCTCTGTCATTGAAAACGGACCTCGAGACAGTCATGTGTGTCCCTCCTGGGCTCAGTTTTTGCTAGCAGAAGCACCATGGGCCAGTCTTTTGCTTTTCACTGGCAGAGGACTAGAAACAAACTAAAAACAAAAGAAAAGAAGAAATGTTTCCCCTTTTGCATTTGAGCACCACGAAGGGACAGGAAAGGGGAAAGGGAAAGAGGGAAGACAATGAAAAAGAAGGGAAGATTGGAAGAGAGCAAAGAAGGAAAGATGGAAAGGAATAAGAAAGGAGAATGAAGAGAGAAGGAAAAAGAAGAAAAGGGAGGGAGGGAGGGAGGGAGGGAGGGAGAGAGGGTCTGAGGGAAGTCCTGCCTTGGTACTTGGCCACCACAGGGGCTTCTGACACGAGTGACATTGAGCTGGCCACACCTACCCCAGCCATGCCCACCCCAACCCCCAAGGTCAAACACAACCCTGATGTGGCCCTCAATGAAATTGAGTTTGATACCCCTGCTCTAAAATGTCTATCATCTCAGTGGGACTTCTGTGGAATTCAAAGATTGCAAAAAGACAAGGCAGGTATCCATCAAAAGAGGCAACTGGGTACACTGACCGTGAATATCATGTTCCCATTATTCACCCTATAGTCAGTTGCACTTATTTAACTGGAAATTGTAAAATGATGTCAGGTGAAAACATTTAAATCATCATCAAGATAATATGAAAAAATGAGGGCAAGCTTTGGGGTGTTCATGGGTGTTATCACAATAGCCACATTGTCTAGCATCTATGTCAAGACATTCTGAGTCCAGCTGCTGACTACAGCTAAGATGATGCTTAGTGTTACAACTTGGATTTGCTCATTATTTGGGGAAAGAAGGAATAAAAGGAAAGAAGGAAAATATCTTGTCACCCAATAAAATAGCAGCAATTCTCTCTCTCAAACATCATCCAATTTCCTCCCACTTAAATGTCCAATATTCTATTCCACCTTTGAGCAGATAGATGGACTGGGGTGAACAGTGCTTAAGAATTAGCAGTTCTATTCACCGTGTAAATGTTGGTTAC